AGTAAAAGTTGTGTTTAAAAGACTTCCGCAGCTGAGTTCCATCATTTATCATAAGAGGTATTACAGGTAAAAGGTACTGGCCGAGAGTCAGGAGGGCTTCGCAGGGTGATTTCTCAGCCTCACATGGCTATCATACGGTGGCATCCGGCGGCAGGAGTCTGGGGGCACAGGCTGAGCAGTCAGCTGGTGGTTTGGTCCGGCATTGTTGGGTAACAGGGCTCGATCCCTGGCGAGGTAATTTATTTCTTCATCTGAACTGTGTCTGTACCATTTACTTAGGTGCTGTGCATTCAGGGCTGCAGTTTGTCTAGGTAAGTTGTTGTTGTTTTTTTTTTTTTTTCACGTGTCTTCTCTGGTTATTATTGCTTCGGGCAAATGAACATTGGGACACTCCGCAGGGTTAAAGGGGGGGAGGGCACCTTGATGGATGGCGTTACTGACTAGTAGCATCCACATTCAAGGTCAGGGGGGGCATAAGTGCTAGCTGTTGACCGGGTCTCATACAAGGTCGCTTGCGATCCCTGTTGGGGGGATATGTGGATGTGACGTATGATCCTTTGGAGTTGCTTGGTCACATTTGCTGCGGCAGGGGGTTGGTACTGGGTGAGTCATGGAATCAGAGTGTGAAGGGCATGCATTGTGCTGCACAGGTCTGACCGCAAAACCTTGGTTTCGTTTGGACACTCTCACGCACGGTTGCGTGGTCACATTGTTAAGCAGCATCAAGGTTGGTTCAGGCCGCTGGACTATCACTCCATGTAACTTACGTTGGGGCTCATTGTGAGGGTTTGCACAAGTTGTCCAGGCCGCTGGACTTTCACCACATGTCTCCAGTCATCTTGCACTGAGGGGGGCCAAGCACGTTGGTTCCGGCCGCTGGACTATCATTTAATTTCACTTGTGATTCGTACGCATACGCATTGTTCGCATGATGTGTTCAGGCCGCTGGACTATTATTTTCATGGTAGGGTCATGTGAGTGCGGCTCTTAGGTTTGGTTCAGGCCGCTGGACTATCACGTCAGGTCACTAGTACTGTTACACATAGGTATTGCTGGCACGTTTGGTTCAGGTCACTGGACCGTAGTTATTGCGAGGGAATCTGAGCAGGGAAGCCTGCCGTCCCTTTGGTCCTGGACTATTCCAAAGATCATTGCGGAACTTCAGCTCAGCTTAAGCTGTAGCTTTTAATCAGAGAAATAGATTATAATCATAAATAGATTATAATCATTTAATCAGAGAAATAGATTATAATAGGGAACATTACAGTGTAATATTCCCCATTATAATCCATTTGTTTAATTACATGAAATAGCAGTACACAACAGAGAAATAGATTATAATAGGGAACATTACAGTGTAATATTCCCCATTATAATCCATTTGTCTAATTACATGAAGTAAGAGCCCCCTTCCCCCGCTCAGACTCACCCTGCCAGGATAGCAGCAGCCATGTATCGATGTGTGCACTCACTGCAGGGGGTGGGGCGGGACAGGACGTGTGACACACACACGTCTCCTGTGACTCACCTCCCCTCCCGCCGCCTGTTACTATGGACGCGGCCAGGAGGGGAGTCACAGGACCCGTCCAGTGCAAGGCCCTGGTGTTCTAACACCGGGACCCTGCACTGCCCCATATTGCAGGACCGGACCCCACTGAGGCTGTGGGGGTGCCCTGGACCGGACCCCACTGGGCTCAGGCCCCCGGTGCGCCGGCACCGCCCGCACCGCCGGTAGTTTCGCCACAAGTTTGTAGCAAGTTATCCTTGCTATCTGGGTATGTAAAATCTGTTATGTGTAAAAAGCTATTTTCATAATGTATAATAATTTATGGTTTATCTGATGGAAGCAAAAAACAAGACAGCACAAGGCAGCTAGAGCTCTCCCTTACCATCAAGAAAAGAACATCTGACAAGAGACTTGTTTCTGGAGAACCAATCTCAGATCCATTGTTTGCTTCATTCTGCTGGAACCCAAAGAACTCTGGACTTTGCTGAGTAATTTCATTCTTATTTCATTTTTGTTTTGCAGTTGTAATATTTGTCTCTTTTAAGTAACAACTTTTCTGTATATTTTTATGCACCTTTTTCTTTATTAAATACCATCCTTTAAGACAGTTAAGCGTATCTCTATGCCTTAAATACAAATTTAAAGAATCCGTCTCTCTGTAAAGAGTGCTACCATAAAGTAAAATCTCTTATATTCCTGTTGGAAGGGACAGTGAGCATACTAGGCATTGCTTGAGGTTAAAATTGTCATAGCATTTGCTGGGAATGGTGTGAATATCCTTTCAAACACATGGTGGCAGCTATTGTTTCTGGCTGTAAAGGGTTAACTGTGGAGTTACTCAACCCCAGTGACATTGTTCTGCTAGCCTTAGATTGTTGTCCTGTGAGCTGTAAAATCTCAGGGGGAGGCTGAGGGTGATGTCGGATGCAGACCGCAGAGCTGCTCCTGTCAGCTCCGGCCGAAGTTCTATTCTGAGCTTCGGCCGAACGATGATTAGTAAGGTCTGCACTAGACCTTACTAATCACCACTAGATCACCAAGGAATAATGATGTGCCTCCTTCCTGCAAAGATGCAAGCAGGTGAGGGGGCTTGGAAGGAAAGGAGGGAGGGGGGAGCTTTATTAATATGTGTGCCGGGGCAAGAGGTTGGGGGGAGTTTATTTTTTTTTAAAGTATTTTATTAATTTTCCAAGTAATCATACAGAATGCGAACGCAAAGGAAAATAAAACGACATACAAAAAGACTATTCAGTTGTACATGTCACATCTGCGTGGACAATATTTTGGTACAAAATACATCACATCACTGCAAGGTAGTCCCATATCGAGAACACTGAAATATCATACTACTTGTCTTCACTACACTATAGCAATGTATCACCAAGGATGACGGCTAGCGTCAGTGCCCAGCCCGCTCTGGGGAATATTCCTCTGGCAACTCCAAGCGTCCTAGGGTGTTGGCTAATTTTCTTTCTAGGTACCAGCTTGTGAGCCTGAATGGATATACCAAAATAAATAACTCTTGTCTCCTGATACTGGTACAGTATGAAAGGTTCCCACTTCATAAAAAAAGCTGTGGTGTGTTTATCCGGGTCTAAAGTGGCTTCTAGTCTCTCCTTCCACATCAGAGACGTGAGTGACTCTTTGAAGTGTTGGGGGGGGTGGCGGCTGTGCAGATAGCCAATGGTGCATAATTGTGCGCTTGGCCGGGGGGAGTTTATTAAGTGTGCTGAGGGCTCGGGAGGGAGGGGAGAAGTTTATTATGTGTGCTGGGGGGGAGTGTATTATATGTGTGCAGGAGGGGATTGGAAGGGGGTAGTGTATTATTGTGTGCGGGGGCCTAGGACCGGATTCTTGGGTATTGCTGGCAAGCTGGGGAGGAGAGCGGTGAACGTCCGTTTACTGATCCCCTCTCGAGCTATGAAACCGGGAGCGACGCGTATTGCATCACTTCCGGTCCCATAGCTGTCAGTGCTGGGCTCCTGAAGCCCAGCAATAAGCTGTTGATGTGCGATCTGCACTTCAATAGCTTATTTAGAGTGTAAAGGTGACACAAGGGGTCTTTTGGACCCCCAGTGTCACCTTAAAGAGTACCTGTCACTGCCAATATGCTATCACATGGGGGCTTGTAAGCCTCCCTATGTGATAGCAATAAAAGTAAAAAAAAAAGCTTTTAAAAATAGTATCCATAGTATGAAAACGACGATCATGATACATATGTTGGGTATCATCACACACGCTAGAGTGAGATCAATAGTTCTAGGGCCAATATTTATGCGCATCTTGAAACTGATGACCTGTAGGGCCTTTAAAATCGTCATGTAAAGACTTTTTGGGGCACTGAAATTTGTCACTGTTTAACAGATGTACACAATTTTTTACCTGGGCATGTTGGCTATCTATTTACCCATTAAAAATGGGTATTTTATTGTGTTTTGGGGCACTAAATTTAACTTAAGTGCATTTTTCACACAACATTTTTGGGTTTGATAATAAGTTGCGCTATTATCGTGCAATATAAAAATTTGCATTCTACAGGGTCTCGGTCATGAAGGGGTTTCCCCATTCTATCCACAACTAAAAAAAAAGTATTGGGAATTGATACCCCTCAGGTGTGTAAATTCTCTGGAGATTACATAAGAAGTCTGCATAGTCCACTTGATGTCATTCAGATTGGTGGCCCTATTGCAGAATAAAAGCACCTCTTAATTTATGTTAATGCTGGCTGAAGCTCCTACCCAATCAGAAGCCTAATATATGGGTGTTCCTGTGGGGGGAGGCACAGCCACCACTAAGCCCCGCCCCCTCTTAGCTGACTGTTTACTACCGGTATTATGAATGAACAATCAGCTCTACAAGGCTGTGTGATAGAGCTGCCGGCTGCTTGTAAAACATGCAGGGTAGTGACAGCTCTATGACCCAGCCCTGATGGCACTGATCATTCATTCATAAAAGCTGACTTAGCGCTACAAGGCTGTAATCTATCTGATTAATGAATGAATGCTGATGAATGAATCCTCAGCACTGTCGGGGCTGTGTCATACACTGTATTGGCCCTTATAGCGCTGATTGTTCTTTTATAAAAGTAGGCTCAGCACTGCGGTGCTATGATCTATCTGCTGGAGCTGCCTGTGAACACAGCCACTGCAGATAAATTATAACCGGCAGTGCTGAGTAATCTCTCATGAAGGGCAGTGCTGGTCTCCAGAGTAGTCATACCATAGTTTTTAGGTTCTAGAAGTAATAAATTAGGCTAGGATGTTCTAGGATGGGATGGTGTATGGTGGGAGAGGTAGTTAAGTACGTTTGAGGCTCTATCTTTGTATTTTTTCTAACTTGTTTGACATGTTATTGCTCAATTAATGGAAAGTATTTTATGACAGAAAAAATGGGTGAAAATGGATCTAAGGACAATAATGGGGTAGACAAATAAAAGTAGGTAGGAGGGCAAAAACAGAGACACACCGATTTAATATTTTGCACTGCAACTTACCAAGGAAAGCAGAGGGAGAGACTGTTCCGTTGCTTCTTGACACCATGACACTAATACCAGTTTCTATGAATGGTACAGAAAAATCCACTACTTCTGAGCGTTCCTCATTTATGGTAAGTGACCCAACAGCCATATATGCTCGTTTGGTTACCACCTAATGATTTAAGAAAATGATACAGTTATTGAGTTCCATATATCTGATAATACTGAAGAGTATTAACACATGTCGATCAGCAAATTCCAAGTGTTTTCACTTTGCAGAAATAATAGCATTTAATTAGGCAAGGGCCAGGTATGAATAGATAAAGTGTCAATCCACGAAGATAACGTCAGTGTGCGGGTTGTCAACTCAGAGCAGGAAGAAACAGTTTATGTTACTATTGCGCTAAAGAATAGCCGATTAACCATCTGTGCTCCAGAAGTGACATAGTGTGGTCCCAGGAAGAAGGTGACCTGGTATGCTGAGAGAGAGAGAGAGAGAGAGAGAGAGAGCGATCACACCGACATAGTGGGTGGTGCAGGTTTCACCTACATCATTACATGCATGTTATCCCTGCCTACACATAATGTAAGTCTCACAACACACTGTGGAGGTAAAGAGGCAATGCTGAGAATCAAACATCACAGAAAATTATGCCATTGGCGTTTATGGGGCCATATAATGGAACATAAATTTTTAAAAACATGACACCGGCTTTATACTTACTTTTAATGACTGGGCCAGTGAAATACAGCAACCTTATCTGTTGGGGAATATCATTAGTGTAATTTAGGGCTTTTTCACACTTTAGCGCTGCAGAAGCGCTCAGTAAAATGCATGCATACGATACGACAATGCACGGTAATGCTTCCATTCATTTTGAATGGCACCCCAACGCACTATTACAATAGCACGCAATGCACCCACACTGCACTGGACCTCAATGCACATGCTGTGTGTTGTAGTGCACTGCATTAAAAAAAGAAAGGGTACAGTGCATTTGTACTGCATTAAAGTGCCATTCAAAATGTATGAGCTACCTTGGCTCCATTCACACATTACTGGTTTTGCGTGCTAAACATAAAAAACAATGCATTCCACTGTGCACTGTTCAGACTATGGCGACATCGGTGGTACGAAACCGCGCGTCCCGCAAAATTGTCCAAGCGTGATTTTGTGGACGGATTTTGCGCATTTGCAGCTATAATAATAGCTACAAACGTACAGAATCCGCGCATATGTAAATAGTTGCGCATTCTTGTGCTGCGTGGAAAACGCAAACGCCATATGTAAATGGAGAAGCAGTGTGCCCTAGTTTAGTGCGACGCATAGTCTGAATAAGCCCTCCATAATGTTCAGACCCTTTTATATTGTTACATTTGTACCAGTGGCCAAATGTACATGCAGAAATTTTAGTTTATAACACAAATATAGCCTAACTATACAGACAACCCTCCAAATTGAATACAGCATTGGTAGCCCTCATCAGCTAAACCAATAAATCAGAAAAACTAGCCACATTATGGCGGGACCAAAAGGAACTGTCACAGACTGTAACTGTGTTTCAAGCTATATAAATGCCTATGGATTCTATTTCTGCTGTAAATTAGCCCTGTTTAAGAACAATGATATGGTCTGCATGTTTCTTCCCCATATAATGAATAAACCCCTTATTTTTAATTTATAATGTAAATGATTTCAATGTAAATGATTTCAATGTAAATAAACAAATTTCCTTTTATTTTAGAACATGCTTTCTGAAAGAAATAGGGATGGCATAGAACCATTGACAGCTAATAACGTTGAAAAAGATGAAGCCAGGAGGAATGCAGCCTTTAATATACACAAGCACCATAAGCAATTATCACAAACAAGCAGAAGAGACAGGCGCACATATTTATATATTTAAAAATTAGGACATTTGTAGCTAATGTATTTACTACAAATGTGCTCACCTGTTTGGTTGTTTGTTACCAAAGCATCACTACTTGAGCTTTGATAGATGCTAAATATTGGACACTTAGGGATATTTGGGAAAATAAATGAATTGTCATAAATATATTATAAGGCAATAAAAGAGTTATATATAGGAATGCGTATTAAAATGTGTTAAATATCTGGTAAATAATCTAAGGAAGGATAAAATAACTTAAAGTTACCTTTTGATTAGATGATCAGTTTCTTTATACAGAGATGTTTGGTATTCAGGTTGAACCTTTATAGAAGCACAGTCTACCAAAACAATCAGTTACATCCAGAGAAGGGAAAAGAAGGGAAAGTGGAAGGAAGGCATAACATAGCGATCAAGTAAGGTGGCAGTATGAAAAGAGTGAGTTGGAAAGAGTGCAGTGACTTTAGAGAAAAAGTACACCTCCAGACTGGTGTTGCGGATAAAAAGAATGACTAAATGGGGTACATTTTCATTGTAGGAATACAATGTAAAAAAAACTTCATGTGTAAGTGTAACTGCAGGTGTAAAAAATAAAAAAGCTTTTATTTAATTTTACATTCTTAATAATGTCACCACACTTTGTAATAGAAACCTACTTTTAGTTCCTTTATAAAAATAACAAATAGCAGAATAAAATTTGCATGTTTTTGTAAGAGGAGACTGTGTAGTTATAGGGTGCATTCATTTTCAGACGGATAAAAAAAAATCTTGGTTATCACAGCATTACTGGAACATGGTTAATCATGCCTTGTGCCATGTCCACCTTAAGTAAGCCATAGCCATGATCCTAACACTCTCAGGTATCTTCACTGTGAGACATCTTACAAAAATCAATGGCTCTTGCCGAATGCACTATTACTACCCCCCTCCATTGCATTTTGGCATCAACACCTTGAGTGATACAGGACCTTGTCGCAGCACGGCTTTTACACCTGGTAAGTCTTTCTGAGCGGTGTCAGGTCTTTTACATTATACTGGGTGGGGGATGGATCTAGTTTCTAGTTTTTTTAATACTAATAATAATACAACATTCATCTTTTAAAAATACCCCTAATTATACAATATCAAGCATATTGCGGACAACACATTGGGCTACACTTATAGGGCAACACATATTGGGCTACACTTATTGCCTAAGCGGTTTTGTGTTTTTATTCTTGACAACATATGACTATATTCTAACAAGCATTTTTATTTTTTTGTAAATTCTCTATAGCTTATTATTTAGTGTAAATTACAATATTTTCTGTTCATCATGGAGGGATGCACCAATACTAGTATTGTTATAATTGCCGATACTGAGTATTTGAGTACTTACCAGCCAATCAGGAAGGTGGACGGCGTGTAATGGCTCGTTGCCCAGCGTCCTGCCGGGCAGCAAGTCATTACCCACCCCTCACCCTCCCCCCCGGCTTCCTGATTTACCAGAAATCCGGCTCCATGCCTCCTCGTCACCTAGTGATGAGGAAGCATGGAGCCGACTTCACAGTGTTCTATCAGAGTTTACAAGTTTGGAATTTGCGACCACGAAAGTTGACCGAAGAGAATGTGGACCCGATCAGCTGTTCCAATAAGCTGATTTTTAAACCTTGCGCATTGTGTATTCAACGTCAACGGAGGTTGTAGTGAGTTACAGGTTGCAATCTCCCATACAAAACCAGATTCCCGGGTGATCAGGAAGCTGGGGGGCTGGTAATGACTTGCCGCCCGGCTTGCCGGCTAGTCAGGAAGCCGGGCGGTGTGTCATTACACACCGCCCAGCTTTCTTAATGGGACTTCTGGTATCGGTATCGGCGAGTACCGGGGAAAAAAATCAGTACCCTTACTCGATACCGAAAAAACGGTATCGGTGCATCCCTAATGGATTTGAACTACTTTTGTATCCATAATGAAGAAGGTTTTTTTAATCCTACCACTTAACATGCTTGTTTTCAGTGGTAATCCCATCAACTAACATTCAATCACCATTAACCCAGTCTCGGACTGATATTTATATAAGCAGGGGCATCCCCAGGCGTCGTGTCACCCAGGGCGGCTGCTAGGTGACACCCCGCTGTGATGTCATGAGGTCATCACGCACATGTGTCATGTGCGCTTACCTGCCAGCATCCATCTTGGTGATGGACGCCGGAATAGAGAGGAGGGAACGTTCACCCGGTAGAATAAAGGTATGCCACCGGGTCTGCTCCTCTCTCGTGCAACTGTAGTGCTGTGGGTCCATGTCCGAGTGCTTGACTTTCCAGTGGGGTTTATACCAAAATTACTGTCAGTCAGGACGCACCCCCTGTGCAGCAACTGATATAAGAATAATCTTTTCATAAAGTAAGACAACCAATCAGGTGGGCACAATTACTGTGGCCAATGCAATTTCAGTGCAATTAGCCATCTTTACATTAGCTTTATATTGAAAGCACCCCTTTACACAGTAATGATAGAGACAGGCCTGCAAGGGCCTGTTGAATTTTAGTATTATGGTCCTCAACAGTGGTGACTTGCAGAAAATTACAATCCCGGAGTTAACCGGTGCAGACAGCAGGACAGGCATTTATTTAATTACCTGTAATTGCTTGCTTTGCAGGGTTTACATTTTTAATGTTAGGGGGATATAATTGCTTTAAGCAGCAGAGCCTTTTGCTGTGTTAAAGTGACATTAAAGTATATTTTTCTTCCCTCCCCCCATTGTTAGTGTAAGCACTTACCTTAAATGATGTCTCTTAATCCGATCTTCTTCTTCTTTCCTGTCGTTTTCAGCTGTCCCTCGAGCGCTGCTGCGGGTCTCCGATCCAGCGCTGACTCCTCTGTGCTTGCTGGCACTTCCTGTCCCACGGTGTTGCATGCGGGTGCATGCTGTCCATAGACTTACCTTGTGTCTCTCCTCGTCTCCCAGCCGAAAATCTGAACTGCGCATGCGCCCGCCCCTTTGGGGCTGCCCAAGATTTTTCGGATGGGAGCACGCGGCGAAGACACAGGTAAGTTTAAACCTCTTTTAAAGCATTTAAAAAAAAAAGTTTTTGCATATATCTACTGCTTGCTCGCCCTTTCTTGCCCTGTTTGTGAGTTTGTCGGGCAGTTTTCTCATATCAAATTTGTAGTGTTCCCACCTCCTTTCCATTTTGTTGTAATGGATTTAAAGGAGGACTATGAGGTGAGTATTTTTCACTCACCTCATAGTTCTAGTCGACCTGTGACAATGAGACTGTCACAGGTCGGCTCAGTAGATCGGGAAGTGAGCGAACACATACCGGCGTTCGCTCACTTCTCGATCCTGTCACGGCTCTCTGCTGTGACAGGGGAGGGGCGGGATTCCCCCCTCCCCGCTCCGATCCTCCAGCGCTGACTGGCGGAACGGACGGGGAGGGGCCGGGTACAGCTGGCTCTGCCTCTAGATAGGCAGAGCCAGCTGTCACTCACGCAGCTGGGCGGATCCCGACATAATTGTCGGGATCCGCTTCAGCTGCGGCATCTCAGTATAACGCGAGCTGTAGCTTGCGGTATACTGAGCTTAGGGTGACGGGAGGACGCTAGTTTGTGTCCTCCCGTTACCCTAAGGAGAACTATGGGGAAAAGCCCTAACCCCATAGTTCTCCTTTAATGGTTCTCATTAAAGGAGAACTATGGGGACACAACCTTGTCTTTGAGCTGTTTGGAGAGCTCCTTGGCCTTCATGTTGCTTGTTTAGTGGTGTTGCAGACTCAAAACAGGTGAGACATCATGTGACAAATCATGTGACAATTTGATTGCACACAGGTAGCCCTTTATAAGCATATTATGGGACTTCTGAAGTTAATTGGTTGGCCCACATCTTAGTTAGGGGGATGATAGCAAAAAGGGTGAATACGTAGCACACAGGATTTCTGTTTTTTTGACCTAATTACTTTTGTGTCACAATAAAAACATGTTGCACCTACAAAGTAGAAAGCATGCAATAAAACAGGAAATGCACCATGGGGGATGCATACTTTCGCAAGGCACTGTAAGTTTCTTGTTTGCAGAGTATAGCAGTCAATAACTAGAGTTCAAAATATGTAAATAGCACATTTCCCTGACAAGCAGTCGTGCGGATGCGTTCCCCAGACCTATAAATTCTGCACTAGATGGAACTGGCTGGTGGCAAACACCAATGGGTTTGTCCTTCTTGCTTGTGTATGCTCTTCCACACATTTCATTCAGCTGCTCTTTCTTGCTCCACTGTGATTCAAGCTAGTGTAAAGATGTAAAGCTGCAAGAGGAGGGGCTGGTGACATTAATTACAGGGTGAGTTAAAGTTGCCAGAGACTTGGCAAAAACAGATTTAAGAAGTATGACACTTCTGGCCTCTTCCAGCAAGAGCCCGGGAGACATTAAATAACAAAATCAGAGCAGGAAAAGGGGTAAAAAACAGGTGGCTCCTAGAAAATATGGATGCTTTAACAGATTAGCTCTCCCATTCCCAGAGGTCTGTATGACGCGGCTGCAACTCAAAAAAACTGCATCAAGTCAAGTCCACCCCCGTGTCAGACTGAACCTCTGCACCGCTAAAGCACATCACTCTACCTGCTGCTGCTGGCTAAAACTATTATAGCAAGGGCGGGCAGATCAATCTGTGGAAAAGTAGTCTGCTGCTCAAACCTGTGCCAGTATATCTGGTTACAACATTTGACAATAGGGAGAAGGCTCATGGATAGAGGAAAGGGAGGATTTTTTTCCCAGCTGGACCTGCCGTGGTTCCAGCTCTTACTAAGAACCCCTCACCCAGGGCCCTATAGCCACTGACACTGCTATGGCGATAGTTACACAACTGCATACAGTATATTTTTTATACGACTGCATACTGCTTTGTATTCTTCCATTTGCCATGCTCAGCATATTCCAACTGGTTATACAGTATGCAATCTCAAGAAAAAAAACCCCACAATATAAAACCAGATATTACCATGCCAAGTTAAAAGATAAATATTTGTTTAGTTATATGCATGTTCATTTTTATTTTAGATAATTATATATCAAATGTAATGTTTTAAATGTTTAACTACACTTCTGTGTTTTGGAAAGTAAACTTCTTCAATCCAAATAAAGATCTGCCACCCGATGTGCATATAATTGTTTATTTTACAGTGGCAACATTTGTAGAGGAGTAAACAGAGCATTGGCAGCGATAATGTAAGCTAAAATTTGACAAAGCATGCTCACTTTGGTCAATACACCCACCCAGTATTGGGAGACTTTTTATGAGCAGTGTTAGGTGGAGTCTAACATTATTTTGCACTGTGAAAAACGTATGCCAGGCTTGGTATGTGTCTATCTTGCAATATGTGTCTGTTATCCTAAACCAGTGTCAGCATATTTCTCATGAAGAAATTAAGAACCTTAGAGTTCAATGATCGGCAGAAAAAACTATAGTATGATGTAATGAAACTCTTGATTATTGTTCTGCCTTACAGGCATACACATTATTGACTTACCTACCTGCCATCTCAAATTCAGCCACAAGATGGTGCTGTAGAGAATATATCTCTACTTACAATAGAGCAGACACTTTTTCTATGGTAGGTTCCCAGCAACCTCTAGCCCAAGAAGAAGGAAATAGGAGTGTTCTGGGAATTCAGCCTCCAATTTGGAACAGAGGCGAGGAGGATCTAGTGCCATCCTGAGCACATGTTTGGAGAAGACACCCAGATTCCCCTTACAACAGCATCACTGGTAGAGGCAGCATCACTGGTAGAGGCTGACTTGCTTTGCACTCTATTTGTGAGCTATCTCTTCATTTACATGTTCATATATTGATTGTATGTTTTCATGTTCTTTTTTTACCACTTTCTCCCACCCTGTTTTGTTAATAAAGCTTCAAGATTTCATCAGTGGGAGATTTCATGATGTGCTGACTTATCTCTTTGATGGGAACAAAGACAGCAACAAAACAGCATGCATTAAATAGTAGACATGTCCGTTTCGTTCCGAATCGAAATTCGGACAAAATTTTGGAAATTCGGAGATTCATATGTATGCGAATTCCGAATGACAGATAACTAATGCAAATGAATCCGGATTTCCGATTCCGAATTTCCGATTTGTTTTTTTTGGACGAACTTTCGTTCTTTGGAGAAATTCAGTTGCAGCAAAGTGACATTTGTGAACAAAAAAAACGCTTTTTCCCTCTTAAATGTCACTATGCTGCAACGAACGAACTAAAAAGAAAACGAAACCAAAGTTCGTACGGATTTCCGCTAACAAATTTTGTCCGAATCCGAATTCCGAAACGAATTGACTTTCGGACCCAAATTCCGAAAAACAAAATAAAGCAAAATCCGAATCAAAACTAAACTAAACACATTTTTTGCTGGTGCACGTCTTATTAAATAGAATTGGGAAGCGTTGAAATATAGCCAGTTTCCATTGCTGTTTTTGTTGTCTTGTCCTTGTTATACTCTGATTCATTAATTTATTACCCTAGTTTCACCAAGACAGGAAGTGAGGGTAAATATCTCCCTATAAGGACATATAAAGCAATACAAATTTCAAAGAGGTTCTGACTATTACCCACTCTACTGAAAACTAAAGAAAAAATGGTTTGACTGCAGCTAGGCTTTAAGCTGCAAATGATCAACCATTGTAAAGCATTTATTATTATATATTAATTTTTAAAGCACCAGCACTAATTAATTGGATAATGTAAATTACATCCAGTTACATAAACAAAATAAGAGGATATTTTAGAATTATACTTTGCATGGATTCAAATTTTACCTCCCCGATCATGCCATTCCATGTGCCATTAATCTTCTTGCCATGCTTTCCGTTGGTCACCAGATACAGATCATAGGTAAATTTGACAGTCTTAGCTATTTTCTTCAGGATATCTATGCAGAAACCCTTACAGCATCTTTTGATGTAGTTTCCTCCTTCTTCTGTGCGGTTCCTAATGATCAGAATAAGATTAACATGAGTCCTAGAATACTGACATGATCCCCTCAAGACACAGAAATGTTATGTCTTCTAGGGCTTTCCACGAAACTATCCTTTCTAAGCAGATTTATAAAACAAAACAAAAACAGAGTGATGCATGGCAATTTAGAATTTATATTTCAGGACTAGTGAAAGTAAAATGTATACCAAGACATACAACATTATTATTAATATTATACAGGATTTATATAGTGCCAACAGTTTGCGCAGCACTTTACAATATCAGGAAGACATTACAATCACAATACAATTCAAGACAAGATGGTAAGGAGGGCATATTCAATATATTGTAAGAGTAGAGAGATTGTTGTGGTAAATAGACCTCAATGCATCTACTATCACCTCTTTTTGGCATAGTGTTTCAATTAATGACACTGTAATTACTTCTGACTTCCCTGAGGGTTGTTCACAAGGCCCTCCAATAGTCAGAGGCACATGTTATGAAACAGAGATTTTGCAACAGAGAAAAATCTGTGTGTTCAGGGGCCTGATTCCTTTCTTCTTCTATATAGATGAGGGAAAGTTATGTATACCATAGTGGGAGAGATCTACCTATCTATATGACGTCTGAACTTGAAACAGTCAATCAGTGACTGTAAGTTATTATAGCCAGCCACCAAACACATATGGTTTGGTTGATTTTACTTTATATAGATTTACTATATGCACTGGAATATAGGTGTTTAGAGAGCATAAACACATAATTTAATTATAGTGTTGCACAAACAAATGGTAAACATACATATATAGTTTATTGTGACACATATTACATGTCATTACCCGCTGCCCGGGAAGCCGACTTCATGCTGTTTGGCCGGCTCGATGCTGATTGACCATGAAGCCGGCATCGCAGCCAATTAGCATGGAGCCAGCTTCCCGGCCAATTAGGAAGCCGGGAGGTGAGTCAATACTTTTTGGCCAACTTCCTTACTGGCCGAGAAGCCGGCTCCATGCTGTTTGGCCAGCTTCACGCTGATTGGCTGGGAAGCCAGCTCCATGTTCCCTCAAGGCACTGCCAGTCAGATGAAATCTCCCTCTGACCAGAAGTTCTGGTATCGGGATAAGTATTGGAGCATTTGGGCGAGTACGAGTAATCGCCCAAATACTCAGTATTGGCAACGGTATCGGTATCAGTGCATCCCTAACTGTAACCATGCATTGTAAGTGTGTAACCTGTCAGTTGGTGCACCACTGTCATTATAGTAGGCAAAAAAATTACCAAAACAGCCAGAATTCCCTTCAGCTTTTTTACATAGTAGGCAAGGTTGAATAAAGACACAGGTCCATTATGTTCAACCTATATAGTGTGTGTGTGTGTGTGTGTGTGTGTGTCTAGCAATTCCCATATCCCTGTATATTCTGTAAACTGAGGAACTCAACCAAGTGCTTTTGAAGCTGTCAATGTATTCTGCTGATACAGCTAACTGTGTGCTGTCACGGTAAAAAAACCAAAAAACTGTGGGGTCAGTGAATTACACTCATCCCCATAGTTGGAGCCGACGTGTGACATTGAAACTGTCACACGACAGCTCTATCGATCGGGAAGTGAGCGACAACATATGCCCACTGGCTCTGACTGGAGGGATATCCAGGCTGTGGTGCTCTTAGCATAAAGCGGGCAATAGCCCGCTATATATAGTTGTGCTCAAAAGTTTGCATACCCTTGGAAAATTGGTAATATATGTACCATTTTTAAAGAAAACATGAGTAAACAGGCAAAACACATTTCTTTTACTTCTCATGGGATTCATATTCAACTGTGGGTCATAACAGAATGGCACAATTATACAGCAAAACATGGCAACAAGTAAAATGACTCCTTTTCAAAAGTCTGCATACCCTTAGTTCTTAATACTGTGTATTGCCTTTAGCATCAATGACATGGTGCAGTGTTTTGTAATAGTTGTCTATGAGGCCCCGAATTCTTGCAGGTGGTATAGCTGCGCATTCATCTTGGCAACATGCCTCTAGGTCCTTGGTTCTCAACTGGTGGGTGGGTCGCTACCCTGTGTTCAGTGGGTCACCGCATGCCTTTCACTTTTCTAGACTCGTCAGCTCCCCCCTAGTGGTGCTGAGTGTCAGCTTGAGGTGGGCTGGGGATATGTCCACAAGAGAGCTCTATCCTTACGTGCATTGCTTACAGCTCCCTCTCGTGTAGAGGTACCTGGACCTGAGTGACGTCTCCCGGTACCTCTACAGGGCAGGCAAGGAAGCTGTACAAGCAATTAACATACGCATGGAGCTCCGTCACAGCACAGCATCCCACACTGGACCCCAGGTTGAGTATCCACTTCAGTTCTTAAGGTAGGGAGACTGGGTGGATATTAAAAAAAGACCTTTTTTTTTTGGAGTGTGTATGTGTGTGAGATTGTGTCTGCGGTTGTGTGTGTCTGTTAGTGTTTTTGAGGGCCCGTTCACACTAGTGCAGTGCATTATCACGCAGTCCCTTGTGATTAACGCACCTTACCACACAATCGCACCTACTGTGCATTCTGGTGTGGGAGGTGTATTGCATTGCCATTCATTTGAATGGCATCCCCAACGCACCTCCCACCCACAGTTCGGTCGCCCGCACCAGAACGCACGGTACTGCAATGACGTGCATTCCAGTGCGGTGCGACTTGGGTCACTACTTGATGACCACAGACAAATGTGGGTCCTGAGATTACACAGGTTGAGAACCACTGCTCTAGGTCATGCAAAGTCTTTGGTCGTCTTGCATGAACCGCACGTTTAAGATCTCCCCAGAGTGGCTCGATGATATTAAGGTCAGGATACTGTGATGGCTACTCCAGAACCTTCACCTGTTTCTGCTGTAACCACTTGAGGGTCAACTTGGCCTTGTGCTTAGAGTCATTGTCATGCTGGAAAGTCCAAAAGCGTTCCATGCGCAGCTTTAGTGCATAAGAATGCAAATTGTCTGCCAGTATTTTCTGATAACATGCAATGGCATGTTATGAGATGCAAACATACAAAGGTAATGGCATCACAGGCTCCTCCAAACCCAATTTGTCACAATGGACTTTATCATTAATAAATACATTGTGGAGAGTCTGTCTTGTGTTTTAATACCTCTGCAGAATCTTTAAACCACTGAATAGTGTTCATCACCTACGCTACATAAGGCCCTCATTTTAGCTTCAGATAGAGCAAAATCCTCTGGGCTTTTACCTATTCTATTGGAGACTGGGTGTTCACTGTCTCTGCTGGTTTTCTTGAGTGGATTGTGAAAAGTGCCAGACTGGTAAGAGGCAAAAATTAAGGCATGGCACGCATGCAGTGGCCAGTGGGAAGGCCTCAGCCATCTCCTAGCAACACCTCACCAGCCACAGAGTAGGAGACATGAGATCCTAAGTGTGGTGCAGAGGAACCTCCATCTTGGCACCTACGGCCTGCCCTGGCATTTTCAGTCAAAAAATTTCCAGAGCTGTAATTTTGTATTAAACTTATATACGTGTGACAAAAATGTGCTGAAAGTTATAATGAAAACCTGAGACACTGTCTTCCTAGTACTTTGCAAAAGCTGGAACAAAGCATTGCCTGTACAGGTTACTTAGATGAAAAATATGAACAGCAACATGACCCTCCTGCTTCCCATAAATACCTTAGAATTACCTATACACAATGCTGGGGACTGCTGCTATAAAAAAAAAAAAAGACAGCTCCTTTTGTCCCTTCACACAACACTTAGGCCCTATTGCCTCCTTCCTGTTAGCTGGTGACGGGTTGTTGGGACATGACTAATAAAGTCTGCCACTGGTCAGTCTACAAAGTAGTGGGCAGTGGAGCTGTTTAAAAATGGCATGCAGAAAGCCCAGTCTGGGTCAGTGAGGAACAGAGCCTTTTGCTCATAGCAACTATTCTCTGTCCGAACCCTCCAGTAATGATGTCACAAAACACCCTCAAAAAGCTCCTATTCTGACAGTAGCTGGACATATGGGATGGAGGAAGGCTAACACTCTGCCCACTGATACCAGTGAAATCTAGGAAGTGGAGATGAGGAGTACACTGCCAGTGATGTACTCGGAGTTGCGCCATGTGGCACCCCCTGAACAGTAGAAAAATGTCACCAGCACACCATGAGTTGAAAAAGCAAAATATTTTATTGCCAATAGCTGTATCTCTATTGCCAATGAGATACAGCTATTGGCAATAAAATATTTTGCTTTTTCAACTCATGGTGTGCTGGTGACATTTTTCTACTGTTCATGTGTGGCGGTGCCATCCGCAGTCATTTCGAGCACCCATCTTCATCAAGTGGGAATCCCGGTAAGGAGTGCGGTATGGTTCCTGTTTCTGTTTATTCAAATGTGGCACCCCCTCACACATAAAAAAAAAGCTGCAGTTCCTGCCTCCCCTTTTCCCCACCATCCTGGCCCTGGTTCAGTGACTTATTGGATTATGAGGTGTCATTTACATTGTACACTTCTGCCATATATGAATTGATGCATTTCACAGCAATGGATATAAATAGAGAAGTATTTCATGGAATGGGTCATGAAAAATGAGGAGGGGAAGAGAGTAGGAAAGAAAAAAAGGAAAAGTGTCAGTGACCATACAGTAGTGGGAAAGGGTCCTATATAGGATGAGGTTGTATAGGAAGTAGTATAGACAAAAGGACGGGGAGGGAGAGAGAAATCAGATAAGAAAAAAATGGGGAGAGCTTAATTTAGGAGTAGAGGGGATCCAGTCACTTCACAGATACAAGGTAAAGTCAGGTATATATACTTTGCCAAGGACCAAACATGGTCCCACTGAGGCCAAGTAATTTGGTATAGTTTGAAAATGGCTTCTTAGGAAATCATCCTCACATTTTGTGCTATTGTATTCATTTAACACACCCACTCTGCCCCAAAGGGAGGGCCTGATGATCTCCAATGTCTGGAAATTGTGTTACATGCTGCAGCTAGGAAATTATGTAGTAAACCACCTTTAACAACTTAAAGTCCCATAATTCGCTTATAGATCATTAATATTTTATCCCAGAAGGGCTGGATTAAGAAGGGTTTACCCCATATGTAGGATGTGTCCTCATTCTCTGATATATCTCCAGCAAGACCCTGTCGTCTTGGGATAAAAAAAAAAACATGAAAATCTATTGAATTTACACACACAAGAAAATCAGCAAGCATCAGTACCAACTAGCCATGATCTTATAATTATGTTTTTGAAATCTGTTAGAGGCTGAGAGTTTATGTAAAAAGGAGAAGGCTTTATCTCACTCTGGGAGTTTAAGTTTAATTTGTACAGCCATTTCCCATTTTCTGGTATAAGTGGGCCCATCTGCTGGTTTGGGTTCTTGAAGAAGGAGGAATTTAAAATTAGTTTGTGATCTAGTAACCAGACAGTATTCTAGCCATGGGGACATTTTGTTGTGGGCACGGTGGAACAAGATACTAAAGGTGGGGGCAATCAGTAAGGATAGGGTTTCTGTTTTTAATGTCACCTAAGGAAGAGCTTTTAGCCTCCATGATAAAATATGTCCTTCCAGATTAGTCCAAAGTTTTTGTCTATTGTGGCATAATCCTGGTGAGAACTGCTGCGTAAAAGTAGGTTAGAAAAGGTAAGGAAAAGTGAGTTTATGCTTACTGTAGGTCTTACTAGAGTTTTCCTATTATTTCTGGATTTTTTTATGGTGTTGTATACAGTTAGGAATTGAATGATTGATGAGTTTAAAGAAACCTTTTGAAGGTTGCACTACTATACCCTGGAAAAATGTATAACACTGTGGGCAATATATTAGGAATAGTAATTCAGGTACCTTGAGTTATTCTGCGGCCTTCCGGTGATTGGATACTGGGAAAAAAGCTGTAAGTATAGGTAAGTATAACCCCTCCCACTCCCATTATGCCTCAGTTTAGTGGCAAGTAGTTGTAAGAGTGGATAGTAAAAACAGAGGGAAGGGATCTGTGTCTCTTAATGTACTCCAAGAAAAGGATTTTATGGTAAATCAAATACACTATTTTTGTAATCGTACATTAAAAAGGACACAGGATGGTAATTCAGGTACGTATGGTCATCCAAAAGCATTCTACATCTCCATCAAGGAAGGGGTGTGGCTGGCTAATGGCAGACTAGGCAGCGTGCTCTCGTGGCTCTGGCCCTGCTCACCCTCTCCGGCCTCTAATTTTGGATGACCGCACTCTTTTGTATGCGTCATGGGCCAAAAAAACACCAGAAGTCCACTGCTGCTCCTGAAGGCTCTATATCGCGGCATCTGAATGCATTTTCAGCCATTACAGCCGAGTGGGTCTGTCTCTCCTGCTTTGGATCTAACACCGGCAGTTGCCGTAGGCAGTCCTTTGAACGATACTCCACATGCTTCCCCAGCTTTAAACCTGGACTTATCCTCCTGTCGATCACCTGGATTGCTGAGGCTCTGTGGACTTTGGTCTGGAGGATGGAGACAGTGATCTCAAGTCCTATATTTGTTACCTGCATACTAAGCTGGGCTTAGATAAGTACTTGCATGGAATATTTGCATAAAATTGATATGGCAGTTTTGAGGGCTAATATTGCCCAGTTTGGTACTTGATTGGAGGGGGTAGAGAAATCAGCGGAGCAGATGCTTGATAAGCTGGAGGTTCATAAACAGGTGCTTAATGAACATACCCTGCAAATACAGGATTTGCTCTACCAGCTAGTTGATCAAGAGAACCGCTTCAGACGTAACATCAGGATTAGGGGGGGTTCCTGAATCAATCATTGCTGAGGAACTTATTCTGATGCTTCGTTCCATCTTTAATTAGACACTGAACAAGGATAAGATGTCGGAGCTGGAAATTCACTACACCCATAGGGTGTTAGGTCCAAAACCCTCTGATTCTGAGAGACCCGGAGACATTATTTGCCACATAAACTTCTATTCTGTAAAAGAAGCTATAATGAGGAGATTTCTGAGGAGATTCATTTTCGTGATAAACCGATACATTTATTGGTGGATCTTTCTAAACGCACGCTTCAAATGCATCGCTCTCTGTCTGCACGTGGGCAGGAAGGTACCAAAACATCAAATTGGACGGGGGTGTTGGGACGTACCAACTGTTCCGTACGACCGCGGCGGACCCTGCAAGGACACCTTGCCGATCCCTGGCGGGGGGGGCGCACGGGGGGGCAAGTGAAAACCTAGGGGGGGCAATTGCCCCCCCCCCATGCCCCCCTGTAGCGACGCCACTGCTCTGAAACCTCTCCTGGAGTTGCTCCGTTCCCATGATGTTCAGTACAGGTGGGGATTCCCCTTCTGCCTGAGAGCCTTTAAGGATGGGAAGTCTGCTCTTCTACGCTCCTTATGTGATCTACTTAATCTACAGGGGACCTTCCAACTGTCGCAAGTTTCTTTGCCAGACTGGCCATTTAAACTGACTCTTCCAGATTTCACTGATTGAAATTGTTGGACCATGATCCCACCCTGTAAGAAGTTGCCCCATGCTACTGTTCTGGAGAATGATTGACCGCATGGACTCCTTTTTTTTCTTTTCATACTTTATTGCCACCCGGGAGTAGGATAGTGATGTTTTAAGTTTAGTGTTTATTTGCATATTAGGTTATCTTGATGACAGATTAATATGGTCGTTTTTTCAACTTTTTTATGTTATAGCTTATATAACATCTGTGCACCTCTAGTCACATAACCATTTCTGCCTTTTTGCGGATTTTATTCACTAATGTCTTGTTTTTTTCACCTAATTCTCTGTTTTTCTTTGCATCTTTTTTCCTCCTTTTCTATTTCTTTAGCAACTTCCATGGTCTAACGGTGCTCATACTTGACTTATTATCTTATTGATGAGCGTATGTTCTTACAATGTTAACGGTTTTAACCATCCCTCCATACGCTAAAAAATTCTATATCACCCGCATAAGAAGAGAGCTTCAATTGTGATCCATAAGCACTGTAGAGCCAAGGATTTAGCATTGGAGACTGACCCGGATAGCAGGTATGTTTTTCCTAATTTACTCTAGATAGGGTTAGCTACATGATTACAAATTTTTCTTTACCTAATGTAGCTCAAGCCCCTGCATGCCTGAGGTTCTTGAAACTTCTTGAGGATTTTGCTGAGGGTCATATTCTTGGGGGCGATTTTAATCTTGCTTATCAGATTCCTTCTGCGCACAGGCCACGCTCCCATATAAGGCAATCCGGGCTTTGAAACGCCGCCTAATTCAGATAAAACTGCTAGGTTTATGGCATACACTACACTCCAAGGAGAAGAATTACACCTTCTATTCACCTGTACATGACACACATAGATGTATTGATTATATCTTTGTCTATTGATTATATCTTTGTCTCTGATTATATCTTGGTCTAATAATAACCTGGGGTTATTATTAGACCAAAACTTTGGTCTGACCAATTCCCAGGGTGTGGTCCATGTATCAGTTATGCCCCCTAGATCTAAGACTTGGAGACTTAATAATAATTTATTGTTGGACCCTTTGTGTTTGGCGGATATCTGCAGGGCTATTGTGCAATTTATAGAAGTCCATGTCAATGACTCGACCCCACTCCCATTCAGATGGCAGGCATTGAAGAGCGTACTGTGGGGAGTGTTTATCTCTCATGGGGTCCGTCTGAAAAAATTACATGCACAACAGTTGAAGTCCCTGCTCTATAAGATTGCAGACTTGGACTTGAAACACAGGTTAGGAGGAGTTGTTTCGGTGGAAGTGCAGCTTGCTGCTACCCGCTATCAATTGCTACACCTGTTGAATTAACATTCCCTCTGTCTTGAGATCTCTGTCTCCGCACATAATATGATTATAAATGTGGTGCCAAATTAGTGCGCTCCCTCCATCCTGAGATCCCACGCTCTGCCTATTTTATCCTTACGCACAATGGCTAATAAGCTTGTTCATAGCAATGCAGATATCTTAGCTATAACTAAGAACTTAGAACGCCCTCTTTTTTTCCTCAGAAGCTCAGCTTGAAGTTGACCGTATGGAATATGTCCGAGACAAGGCTCTTCCCCAGGTTTCAAATGCCTTCCGATCTGGTCTAGATGTGCCATTTACTTCTGAAGAACCCCTAACAGCTATCAAATGCTCCAAAACTGGGAAGGCCGCTGGACCTGATGGGTTTTCTAATACATTTTATAAGACCTTTGCAGATAAGTTGCCTCTTCTTCTTTTGAATGCTTTCAATTCTATATCTGATACTTGTTCCTTTCCCTCCCAGTGCCTCTTTGCTCATATCTACTTAATCTTGAAACCGGGGATGCATGATACCGACCCGGGTAATTATAGGCCCATTTCTCTCCTTAATGGAGATATAAAGCTCTACCCCAAAATGATTGCTATACGACTGCAGTCAGTTCTCCCTTCGATTATCCACACAGACCAGGAGGGGCTTGTTAGCGGTTGTGAGGCAAGGGACAACAACCTTAAGACTCTGCATTTAATTTCCCATGCCAATAGACATAAAATCCCTGCTTGCCTTCTCTCTGTTGTCGCTGAGAAGGCTTTTAACAGATCGAGTTTTTTTTCCCCCCTCAGATAGAGATAACATGTTGGGGAAAATCATGGTGTTATACGCCTCACCCTCAGCCAGCATAAGAACCAATGGTAGTTTCTCAGATTATTTTATTATTGGCAATGGCACTCGACAGGTCTGTCCCCTCTCCCCCATTTAATATGTGATCATGATGGAGCACCTGGCAGTAGCCTTGCATTATAAAGTTAACATTCGGGGTCTCCAACTTAGTGATCTGGAATATAAACTCACAGGGCTCAAAATTTCAAGTACTGAGCTACTAGCCAGGCCTTAAGAGTCACTAGCCACCAGTTGCCCCAGCTAACCCCTAAGGCCGTGACACAAAGCCGTGCAGAGCGAAGCTTTGCGTGCAGTGTGTGAGCTGAGTGCAGTCAGGTGATTGACTGCACCTTCAGCCAATCGGCTCGTGCTTAACAACAGGCCAGACGTCGCATCCCGTCGTGCCGGTTTATACGCGTGAGCCGATTGGCTGAAGTTGAAATTGTTCATCTCGGCACGCTCAGCTCCGTGAGCTCTCGCCAGCTGAGGTGCCCAGGAGAAAATGACATGACACACTGCTCGCAAAGGCAGCACGCAGTGTGTCACGGCCTTAACTCCGCCCCGGCCTTAACTCCGCCCCTAAACACACCCTCTTAAATAATCTTATGATAATTCTTATCTTATGATAGTTGCCGCTTGCAAACGGCAGATTCGAGATTCCTGCTGCAGGAAAACGCAAGTTCCTGACACAGGAATACTAATCACACCTGAAATATACTGTAGGTGTGAATGGGGCCTAATATACACATACACTAAAGGTGCCCATACACCTGCCGATTATCGTACAATAATCGCGGGTGATCCCGCGATCGTACGATAATCGTCAGCTGTATGGGCTGCGTGCGACCGCTTCTACTGTACGGTCGTACGACTTTCATCTTCCGAGCACACTGGAAAACCTGCCGAAAATCGTACTTTTTTTGGAGGGTTGGTGGCGTGGTCGGAAGACGAATGCTGCACGGGCCGGTGTGGGCATAGCTCAGAACTGTCAGAGCTCCGGCCGAAGGAAGCCAGAGCTGACAGGAGCTGCTCAGCAGTCTGCTTCCAACACAGATGCAAGACCGTGGAGATACTCCCGCAAGTCAAGTACGCGGTCTGCGACAGTGTACCTGACATGTCAGCTGGCTGTGGGCCACATAGTACCGGCTCGTGGGCCGGAGTTGGGCCGCGGACCGGTACTTGGAGACCCAAATTTCCACTCAAATTGAGCCCTGAACTCGCATTGTATGTAAATGACCTGCTTTTATATATTACTTCCCCCACTACTAGGCTTCCTGCAATTTTACAGGAGTTTTTTTTACAAAATTAACCTTGCTAAGTCAGAGATCCTAAATATCTAATTAGCCCCTCCTGACAAAGAAAGCTTGATGGCCTACTTCCCTTTTAAATGGCAGCCATGTTCCATTAACCCCCTCCCATCCATGGCTGTTCCTGAACGGCCAGATGGGAGCCTTATAGGAGCGGGAGGGCATCTTAAGACTTGTGTGGGGGAGGGGAAGGACATCTAGAGACGCCCATCGCTTGTAGTAGTGCGGGTCTCCCTTTGATCTCCTCTCCGGTCGCCGAATGCAGGAAGTAATGTATATTACATCAATTCCGCATTCAGTGTCACTCTCCGGCACCAGATGCCGGTGAGGAGCTGCTGAAGCAGATCTCTGCTTCATCAGCTTCTCTGGGGGTCCCTACGTGACATTAGGGGTCTTGGAGACCCCTGGTGTCTCCATAAAGAGGACTTGTTATTTGAATCGGCTATCAAATAGGGGGATTTCTTAGCCCCCTATGTAAAAGCAATAAAGTTAAGTGTAAAAAAAACATGAAAGCATTAAAAAAATAAAGGAGCTTAAAAAAAAATAGTCACAAATAAAAAAAAGTAACATAACATCAAGTCCCCCGCCCCCTCCCACATACACAC